ATAAGACAATGACAAAACAACAAACAATTAAGAAACCAATAGTCTATTTCATACAACATTTATTAAGGTATGACCTGGACTTTTATTTCATTTGGCATCAGCAATAATCATCCTTAACATCCCGTCAGTGTATAAGATGGAATACCCTATCAATTCTTATGCAGATATAAGCTATATTATGGTCATGTCATATGTAGGATTGATACATGCTGCAACGTCCATGCATACAATAATTTCTTTCTTGGCGATTTTTAATTAATGTTAATCATCTTTTGAATTTAAAAGTTATACTTAACAATAATACCATCGATCTTACAAGAACCATGTCAATCTAGATCTCACCAATGTTTAAACAAGACTGAAGCTAAAAAAAAAAAAATGGGTCAGTGTCATATACACTAATTTCGTTCTAAGCGATTTTTAATCTATGTTAATCATCTTTTTTTTAATTGAGTTAAGTTATACTTAATTATGATACCAGTGACCTTACAATAATCATGTCAATCTAGATCTCACCAATGTTTAAACAAGACTGAAGTTAAAAACATTGGGAGACAGCTTGAAATTCTGTTAACTTGATACTGAATCTGAAATGGATGGGTTTTTTTAATCTTAAATTTGAAAATTTGATGAATTATTTGAAACGTGTTTCCAGATTAAAAATATTCTGCTGTGCATATTAAAATATGGTGTTGATGAGAGAAGAGTGTAATTTCATTTAGTCATTTTCTCGGTGCCAATCACAATTTCAGTTTTTATCCTTTGTCCAGTACATATGGAACTTGCTGCACCTCCTTCAAACCATTGAGGAGGACAATGGGACTACATTTTGTTTTTATTGCACAAAACTTATGATTACATTTTCACAAAAATATACACTTTTGAAACACCCATGCAATCAAATCCTGATTTATAAATATGAACAAAATCAATGATAACAATTTCTCAGATTCACACTGAAAACATACAATGGCAGTATACCCTTATCATACATACTTAAAGCAGAACAAGTTCAGATCGGCTTGCAATTGAGAAAATGGCTTAACAAAGATATTCTTATCATGATCCTGTCTACAATGTACTGTCTTCTTAGAGATACATTTATAATATAACATCAGACCTATCAGAAAAGAATTATCATTTGTTTACGTATTTACAAATCTGGTTTTTATTTCTGTGAGAAAAAAAAAGCCTGAGATTAAAATTTTAGCTAAATACATGTTATCACAGTAAGTACAGGATGCCAAAATAACGAAAATTGAAAACATCTTATACACCATGAACTAATAGGCAGTAAGTACAGCATATCAAAATAACGAACATTGAAAAAAATAAAATTGCTATAACCGATGTAAAAAAAAACAAAAAAACTACGAACTGATTAACAGAATTGAGCATCAGAACACATTATAACAAAAGAAAAGCATACAATATTTAAAAAAATAAAACTGTGTTCTTAAAACCAACAACCATTTAATTAATGAATACATCAGAACTGTAATAAGTTGGACCCAGATAACCTTGCTAGTTGGGACCAAATTTAGAAGAAATGATAAATGTCTCATTACTTCTGTAAACCTGTTTTTCAAGAATACCTAAAAAAATCACAAATTGACCACAAAAAATAATAAATATTAATTCTTCGTAAATTATTTTTGGGGTGGCTAACATATAAAGCCCTCTTCCTGTTGTTGCAAATGGAGATTTGTGTTTATTTTCATTACTCCAAAACTTTTCGCTCTCTGCACCCCTGGAATATTGAAGGCACACACACGGCAAACTATTTGGCTGATACATGTCCTTTGAAGATTACAGAGGAGCGACTCCCGACTTTGAAAGCCTTTCAATTTTACCATTATGCCTTCACAAGATTCTTTTAATGTATACCAAAGGATCAAACAAGTCTTCTTGTCTCATACAGAAGACAGTGTACACTGAGCCTTCAATTTTGCTATGACATCTTCCAGGGGTGCAGAGAGCGAAAGTGAGCATAATCGGGGGGGATTATCCACATATCGAGGATGTATTACCAATGTCATCTAAAATGCTTAAACACAAGATTAGTGATATATTTCTGTTGTTCCGGATAAAGGCCTTCATTTATTTTTTGGGAAAGCTGATCAGTCTATGAACACAGAGGTGCATGTTATCACATTTAACTAGCAAACACATACAGTAAGTTATCTGGAAAGAGCTTGGAGAGACTGTCCAAATTAACAAGGTTCCACTGTAAATCAGACTTAAGATAGATTATAGGAGGATAACAAACAACATGGTAAGTAGGTAACAACCACTCAACTCCAATAGAAACTAAATAATGATAACAAAGTAATAATTTCTGTCACAACCAATGTCGTACAGATCTTAACAACAGTAATAAAATGTCATAAAAACAGAACTACAGAAATTGTGGTCCTCCATATCTAATTCAAAATAACAAGTCAGGAATGTTTGTGTTTTATGTATCTTTATAATAATACTTTAGGAAGCAGAAATTCATTCTGCAGTCATCATTTCCACAAATGGTTATTTTTATTCTAGAATTTGTTTCTGCACCTTTGCAAGTTACTAAGATTAATTACAGTTTTAAGAATTTTTCATCTCTAAATACACAAAAGAGTTATTTCTAATGAAATTGGTTCAAATTTTGTGTCAAACAAAATCAACTCATGTTAAATCTGATTAAAAGTACTACCAGCCATGTAACTCTGAATGCTGCTGCACCTTATTTGCAAAACATAAATATAAGGGGGAGATAACTCTGCAATTTAAGAAAATAAAATGGTCATAAATACTTTTTTCTTTGTCATTGCATTGACAATATTCTTTATATAACTATTCATTAACAGATATAACGTTTGTTCTATTAAATGTACATTAGGATTTCAAATCTAACACAATTAAAACCAATGCTTTTTATGGAATGCTATCTTTTCAAGTCCGATCAAGGAATCAAACCCCAGCCGTCTTCGTGAAAGGTGAGCACACTAACCACTGTGCCATCAATAACAATAAAGACAACATGTTATGTTTGAGATTCTCAAAAAAACAAATACTGGTGAAATTTAAAAGATAATGTTTTAAACTGAAAATTCATTGAAAATAATGTTTTACTAAACTTCAAAATAACAACAGTAACAACCTTGTTCTCAACAAAAAGAAGTAAAAAATTGTCATTAAAAAAACTTAAAACACATTTGTAACCGAGGCACCAACCTTCCAAGTCTGATGCTGGGACTGTTTTTTGCTACCAATTGAAACAACTCAGTAGCAGAAAATGTGACGGTCCACCCTTGTGACAATAGACATAAAACAATATAATTATATAAGAAAAACAAATAGGTTATGTTCCTTTAAAGACTCCAGGTGACAACCAAGTATCACATTTGGATCCATAACCCACTTCTCTAAACAAAATCAGCAGATTTCAATGTTTGATGAAAAATGAAATGTAAAGCGTGTTCTGGTTATGCAAAAAAAAAAAACCTCAATCTACAATCATTACAGTTAATAAGCAACCTAAATCAGCACCCTAACAAAGAAGTGTACATCAATATTATCAGAAATTAGTTTAACTACTTAAGCTAATAGAATATGGTGAAGTTACTTCAATATACTCACATAGCAGCAAGTAAGATGGATTTCTTATCAGATTGTAAGGCAAAATCATCAACATATTTGTTAAACATTTATTATTCTATTGACTTAATAATATTTGTTGTTCGGCCGGGTATATTGGTAAACTTTACTTAACTGGGCACCGTCATTGAGGAACTTTACAATTCAATGAGATAAAGTTAATATTTAAATACACTTATCAAACTACAACCATTGTCTGTCAAAATTGTCCATATAGCAAAGACAAATTTACTTAGATAGCAGTTTCTTTAATACTTTAAGTGAAGCTATGAAAAATCCTGTAAGTCTTGTTTTGAATATGTTGGGTATGATTCCATTGATCTCCTTCACGTATAAGGATGTGAAATTCAACATCTAATGTCCAGCACTAACAATGGAGAATCTCTATATGATGATCATCCACTGTGTGTAACACATAATTCCCCACCACGACCAAAATAGTCATGTCAATCCAAACGGTGTTTCCATGGTGATACTGATCAATTAGTCGACAACATGTACTACAATTACAGGTAGGCCAACCTAATCCTAGGTATCTAGGCATTGTACTAATTAATTGTTCATTTCTCTTATTTATTACATTTAATCCGTTTCTCTTATTAAATATTAATGTAGATTTGAAATTATTTCCAGATTTGTTTCTTTCGACCTGTAGATATATTCTTTCAGTACTAAATACAAAACACATTGTATCAAGTAAATCAGATACAGTTTAAAACAAACAGAGAGAAAGCTTTATATACCTCCTTTTGTTCTTTTTCCAATGGAAATGTCAACAGTTCCAAGATCTAGTTTTGCAGAGTCAAACATTTGCTGTGTAGCAGCAATCTACCCAGAGTTGTTGTTCCTTATACTACTTACATATAAGTATAAATAACTTATACTACTTACATATAATTATAAATAACTTATACTACTTACATATAAGCATAAATAACTTACACTACTTACATATAAGCATAAATAACTTATACTACTTACATATAAGTATAAATAACTTATACTACTTACATATAAATAACTTATACTACTTACATATAAGCAGGGATAGACACTAACATTTTGCTAGGTAGTCCACAGGACTAGTTGAATAGATTATTTACTAGTCTTTCATCAATGTAACTGGTCCAAGATTTCCTGATAAGGAAACATCGCGATCTACAGCACGAAACATAAAAAGTAATCAACTGATGAGGACTAAAATATCTACTGCCATTAAAACATGGGGAAGTTGTAGGATTTTTTTTTACAATTATCATGCAATATATATGTATATCTTATTTTCAAGCGATTTTCTAAATTTTAGAAAGTAGTATTCTTATTTTATAATCATATTTTTCACAAGTCCAAAGGACCAGTTAGGTTAGGTGATTCACTAGTCCTTGCTGAAATCTACTAGTCCAGGACTAGCAGACTAGTGTTAGTGTTAACCCCTGATAAGTGAGTGTAAGGAAGGACAACTCTGGGTAGAGGTTGGTGTAATATTATACTTCATCTGTTAAAACATTATCCCTTATAACATGTTTTCACATTGGGAAAAAGTTTGAAGGAATGAGGAATTCTAATATTTATTTTCAGACCCAAATTAAAACCCCGATACATTTTATCGATACTGACAGCCCAAGGGACAGATCTCACATATTCAACAAACTTATACATTTTGTTCACATATATACACAATTACATATACATTAATAGAAAATACTGTCAGATTTGTGACTAGGTGCATCTAAGAAACTTTGATGAGAACATCAAATTCATGACGATTTTAGAGAAAAAAATAATTGCAAATATATGGCAGTTGTTCCAGGCTTTTGTTTCTACTAACAGAACACATCCAACTTTGTAAGAGATTCATTTTTTAAAACTGTGAAAATGTTCATTTTTGCATTGTAGTTTTTCACACGTTAGTAATTAAAAGATTAATTCATAAAAAAAAATAAAAAAATAAGAAGCCTTTGGTTAGACAATTTAAGAATATTAAGAATTTCCTGTCCCATTATAAGTTTTAGAAACAGAATACAAATGTATCATGTTTATCAACACAACTCTGAACTGGAAATTATTCTGTCTTATAATATTTTTTTTCTTGGCAAAAAAGCACCAATCTCTGGTATAGGTGATGGAAATGTGATATATAGCGAAATATTTATATATTGACAAAGGAAAAAAATAAATTGTTGTCAGAATATAATCAAACTTAATCATATCCATGGATCACAGATTTAACATTTCCATCTTTCAAACCATTCATTTTGAATTTTGAATTAATTTCCAACACTAGTAAGAAGCCTCATTATGGTTATGAGCATATTTGTCCGAATGTGTAATAATTTGTAAATATCTAGGAGATACCTGAAGTGAAGTTTTTGTAAAATGTTTCCATACAGCGATATTTGATTTCTGTATGGTACAATACAATGTATAGTGACAGCCCTATAAAAGCTATACACGAGTTATACAGTAAGTATAATTAAGGAGATCATTTGAAGTCCGGAGATGAGTAAAATGCAGAGTTTAGTCAGAGAGTAATTCATTGTTGTACCCTTGCTATATAACTACTGTATACAGGGAAATTTTCGTCGCAGTTTAGCTTTCGCCTTTTCACCCTCCCCAATGAGGGCAAATTTATCATTACAGCGAATATTTGTACACAGCATGTAATATATAGTAATTACATGTTATTGGGCCAAGATGAAATTTATTGGAAAAAGGTGAAAGTTTTACTGGGCAAAAGTATACCAGGATACCGTATACTATCCCTATACATTACTGCTAGTGGAACTCCAATGTCCCTGTGTAGATATCGTCATTACGTAGGTATATCTGACAACACCACATTTAAAATTAACACAGACATTCATATACATACATAATCTGAAATAAATATATTTACAGATAAATATATCTACAGAGTCCAAACAATCATACTTTAACTATTATAACATTAATTTTCTTAAGACCTATTCCCAGATATTAGTATCAGTCTGAGTCGTAATCATCAAAGTTTTCTCCCCTAACAACTTCTGACTGATGGTAACGCCCCCTACTGGCGAAATCCTCATTATCTTCTGTGAGCTGAGCAGCCATTGTGTGTACAGCAGGGGTAGATGGTGCCACCACAATTTCTTCATGAACTGGTTTTCCTCGTCTGAAATTCAGGACCAATACATGAAACTATAAGAGTATCAAAAATGGAGAATTCTATGCAAGCAACAATTTGTCTGGTGACAGAATAAATATTGTACAAGTCATTGAAACAGTACACAAAACATTTCACTGGCTGGGCTTTATTAACCTGTTCACAATCTTGACCTTAGGCCAAAAAATATTACAGTAAAATCATAATTTTTCATGGGACATTAAATTTCGTTTATTTTTATGGATAACAAAAATCCACGAAATTAAATCTCCACGAAAACATAAATTTGGTACGATATAGATAGGGGAAAATCAGAAATCGTTGAAATATAATGTCCTTGAACCAGGAAAGTATATGAAAACCACGAAATTTTAAATGATTCTACAGTATGCATGTCTCAGGTTTACATGACTGAAAAAACATAGGGTTGTTCAGTCAGGATTAATTTTTATTTCTTTTCTCCACTGTTTTGGAAGGGTATGGGGCTAATTTACAAAAATTACCAAATATATTTTTTGGTCTTTTGAATAATATCTATGGGATTAAATTTAGTTTTGATACCTGCCTATGAAGTAGAGAGGGTACATATTTAAATACCCTTTTTATTTGTTTGTTTGCATCTGGTGGACAAGTCATCCTAACACTTGATGTATGGAGTGTGTTTTAACGAGATATAATTGTTAGTTGGAGGTAAAAACCAGGGTCTATTGGGGTTTATTTTTGGCCTTATCATTCTCTAGAAGATATAAAATGGAAAATGTTATGGTGGATAGTCTGCACCACAAGCTAACACACGCCTCATATGCTAGGTGAGCTAAAAGTTGTGAAAGGAACATGAAATACAGCATTATTATTGCTTATGGTTGCAATTTCAGCTACATTTAATATTTTATCAATCGAGAAATCTCTTACCTACAACACCGCTGGATACCTTCCTTGACCCATTCATAAAAGTTAAAGTCAGCAATACCTGTAACAGATAGGTGATGGGTACATGTCGATAACGTCCGTACATAACACAGTATACGTAACACAGGAAGATAACAATTTTATCAGGCATTATAAAATGTAAGTAGGCTGTAAGTTGCTTTCCCAAAATCTATTGATACAAAAAATATGTATATCTCAGAAACATGAACAATATATATAGGATCTTACATGAGTTGAATTTCATATGAGATTGATGAAATGAGTCTAAGACGAGGCTCGCTAAATGAAAGATTTGTGGCATTTATTCATGTATAACGACAATTTCCATGCAACCTTGAAATGTAAAAAGCTGCCATTTTGACATAAGTGCATAGGTCTGTTGCATAGTTGCTTAGGAAGATGAATCATAGATTCAGTTTTTGAAGGGAGGTAACTCTAACAATTCGGGTCTATTTAGAAGTGACTTTCAACGACAGTTTGGAGGAATTCACAATGTATTTCTCTTAAGCAATTTTTGAACGATCATGGAATAATTAAGGATAGTGAATGATTGACCATAAAATTCCAACCATTACCAGCCCAATCAAAATATATACTCAGTTATAAATCTACATGTGAGACCTGGGTCCTGTGCCAATAGAATTTGACCCATAGAATTTCAGAAGATACTGGGATTTAACATGGTGGGACCCATATCTTTTAACCATACAGTGGAAAAAGACCCATACAAACTAATTGTAGATTGATCACTGTATACCAGCGGCCAGGATGGACCAACCAGTAAGGATACTTACCTGGGAAGTATCCGGGACTAGCTTGTCCTATATATACATATACTATCAAGGCTGCTGTCAGCTCCGCTAAGCCATAAGCCCATTGTATGGAAAACATGATGAAAAAACAAACAAATGTCTGAAAATAAAAAATATTTGATTAAAAACTCTGATTTGCAAGACCCACTCATCTATAGAATGAATATAAGATGAGGAATACCAAATACCTGGTAAAATATTTAATTGCAAGAAAAAGTATTTGGGGATTTCTTAACCTATATCAAACAGGGGAATCAATATGACTTCGTCAACATCAAGCACCAATTATCTTAAAATAAATAAAAATATAAACTTTATTTATTCTACAACAATTATGAAACAAGTTATTTCAACTTATATTAATCAGTCTTGGCCCGGATGTTAGCGTGCAGAGGGTCTATATGTGGGAGGAAACCGGAGTACCTGAGAAAACCCATGTGGTCAGACAGGTGACCCCATACCTTTTCACGTCCGAGCGGGGAATCGAACCCTGGCTGCCTTGGTGAAAGGCAAGTGCGCTATCCACTGCACCACCCAGCCACCCATCTTATAATATATATGTACTAACAATTGTCTTACACAATTAAGATTTCTATACAAATAAGTGGAAATCTGTGCAGTTTAAGTAACATATTCCATGAATGACATTCAGAACAGAATGGACTGGAGTAGTAACTGTCTTTTCTACATACAAAATATTATTGATCACTGAATCTGAAAATTTCAACAGAAGGCCATCAACTTCAAACAACATACAAAGGACAATCGTTGGTACAGCATCTTATGATACATTGAATTATAACCAAGTTAACTCATTCACCCCTGAAATTCCATAATGAACTATTCCAACCTTTGAAATGGAAGAGTTCAAATGTGTCTTCAGGGGTGAATGAGTTAAACAACTACAGAATGGATCTCCAAAGTCAGTTAGATACTTACCCCGAACAGTGAAAGCCAGCGGTTACAGAATACTGAGTACCATGATGTCGGCATTTTGGTAATTTCTGTACTGCGGGGTTTCTTTGGGGACTCTGTCTCTTTAAGAAGTAAAATACCTTTTTTAACATCATTTTTGTTTTTAGAAATTTCTCATCATAATTACAGTGTAAATAAGGAGGAATACAATTTAATAGTTTGAATAGTTTTACATCAGCTTCACAATAAAAAAGTGATCACTGTTCTGTTTGAACTTAAGCATGTGCTCCAGTCTGATTAAACATACAAGAGTTATCTCCCTAAGCGAACCCTGAACCAGGCAACATTTAGAAGTACTTTTATGTTATGAATGTACGTATGTATTCCTGTGACACTGTATTATTAATTAACTTAATTGCATTTATTATTGGCATTATACATGTTTCTTGGTAAAAACTCCTCTGGAAGGAAGACAGATTGTCCACTGGTTTGTATTAAATCTATTAAAAAAATAGTTTTTAGTAGCATTATGTTATGATTGAGAACTACTGTAACATGAGTGTGTCACTACCTGTCACATGAGTGTGTCACTCCCTGTCACATGAGTGTCACTACCTGTCACATGAATGTCACTACCTGTCACATGAGTGTGTCCCTACCTGTCACATGAGTGTCTCTACCTGTCACATGAGTGTCACTACCTGTCACATGTGTGTCACTCCCTGTCACGTGAGTGTGTCACTCCCTGTCACATGAGTGTCACTCCCTGTCACATGAGTGTGTCACTTCCTGTCACATAAGTGTGTCACTACCTGTCACATGAGTTTGTCGCTACCTGTCACATGAGTGTGTCACTTCCTGTCACATAAGTGTGTCACTACCTGTCACATGAGTATGTCACTTCCTGTCACATGAGTGTGTCACTACCTGTCACATGAGTGTGTCAATGAAGGTAACTTCTTCTGTTCATGGTATCAACTCTTCATATCTACATTTTTATAGATTTAAACTCTGTGAAGTTAGATTTTCTGGTTCTTTTAACACTTGATGAAATATTGTATATAAGTAGGTCACATCCTCATGAATGCATGTTATACATTGTTACTCTATAACCTCTATGACTATGGTCAAGAGAACTATTACTGTTATTGACTTTCATTATAAGACAACATGATTCATAAACATATGTATGGGAGGAAAATGTATAAACTTCATTTATTTTACAACAATTATGAAACAAGTTATTTAAACCTTTATTAATTACTTTTGTTGGCCCGGATGTTCGCGATGTACAAAGAAAATTATGCAAAAGGAAAAATAAAAACAACAAATTGATTGTCCTTGACTATATGGTTTGTCCTTGATCTGTAAGATATATGTCTTTGACCTATAGGGCAACCTTCACTTACATATGCAACCACAGTATTTAAAATGACTGAAAGAAATGCAGAAAAATACGGAAAAAACACATCTATTGGATGTCCTTATTGTCCACAGTGACATAATACCTTACCTGTAGCAGTAGCTCCAGTAGTGGCCCCTTTCTCAGGTAAGAGTGAAGATGTATCACTGTGTTCAGAAAATGTATCATGTGACTTAGATTTTTTGGTGGCATCAAAATCTGCATCCGGGGTTGTGGCGGTACTCCCACTTCCCATGCTGCCCTGCCGCACAAGATGGTGCTGCCCCCTTTGAGTCATTCTCTCCGGAAACAATTTGTCCAAATCACTTGCAAATTTTTCAAATGAATCTTTTGGGCGTTCACCATTTAAATGCACCCCTGTTGCACCATAACTCCCTGCAACAGTGCCATTGTTCGCATCAGTTGGTGATGTTGCATCACGAAGCTTTTTAGAATTGGTAGGTGTCACATTGAGATTTCTTTCTCGTTCTTGTCTTTTTTCGTATGTCATGGCTAATGCGAAATAAGTATAGTTGATTGCGGCGTAAGTCATCATAAACGCTGTGGTAACTATAGGAGCTAATGTGTTCACGTCTCCCACACATATAAACAATAACACAACAAGTGTCACAAGGATTAGGGAATATATCGGAACTTTGTTGGGTCCTCTCTGAAAAGATCGAAGAAAATATTTTAGTTTATTTCACTTCAATCAATTATTTAAAAGAAATATACGTTCATGGTCCTTGAGCAAAGTTTCACAAATAATAAAGGGAATTCCATGCTTTTAATTCAGTAAGTCTCTTAGATTAGAGTATTTACTTAAGCTAAGGAACATTAGTGATGCCATGAATTATTTGTGATACAGAAGAATATTTTTGATATTAATCTCATTCTGATTTGTGATACTAAGGAACATTTATGATACTAGGAACATTCATGATACTGAGGAACAATAATGATATTAAGGAACATTCATGATACTTAGGAACATTTATGATAATGAAGAACATTTATGATACTAAGGAACATTTTTGATGCTGAGGAACATTTATGATACTGAGGACTGGTGATATATAAAGCAATATGAAAAAATTTGTAACCAAGAAAATAATCTACATTTCATCTAAATTCCATGTTCATTAATCAATGTGTAGTGAAAGAGGAAGCAATATCACATACACATGCTTAAATTACCCACGATCAAGCTGTAGTTATCTCCCCTTACATCATTTTCACAATCTTCATAATAAAGTACTCCCTAACAAAAGTCACATTAGTAAATACTTACTCCTTGGCCGAGCACCCGTATGATTGGAATAACGTTTTCATTGGCGATGGACTGGAGGATCCTGGGAGGTCCATACAGACTGCCCATACAGGATGACACGGAGGAAATATACAGGCCGATCAGCCACACATAGCCAACAAACGCCACCTACATGGACAAAGAATAATAATGCATCAAATATCATTAGTGAAAAAAAGAAGAAAATTTAATGAAATAGCTTGAATGGTAATCTTTTTGAGTTTGGGTTAAACAAAGGGAGATATTGTACATATGTTTTAGACTATCAAACGATTGTTTAGAACCTTGAGAGTGGGTCAAGGTCATCATACAAAAAATTATAAAGCCAATTTCCCTAGCATGCTACTAGTCATATTACATGACTGTAGAACCTTTGTTATTCAAGATACAGTACATAATTAACAAGGGGAGATCACTCATCACATTAGCTATCGAATAGGCCAAATTATACAAGGTGAAAGTACTCGCCTCTTTACTTATTTTGTAACTGTCCAGTGCAGGAGAAATAAGGGGAGATCACTCACCTCCTTAGCTATCATGTAGTCGCCCAGTAGGTAGGACCTTGAACAAGTTGCTCCAAGGACTAAAGTGAAGGATATGTACAAGATTGTCCTACAATGAGAAAAATATAACTTACAACATAACATCATATTGAGCACCTAGAAAAATATTTTCAAAATTTGCTTTTGATTTTCAAACTTTCAAATGAAAAGATATGTTGCATAAAACTCAAATAACCCATAATGCCTTTAGCTAACTGTTAAAACACCAGAGGCTTGTCTGTTTATTCCGCACAATTGGTTTGTCCTTTTTTAAATGTAACATTTTCAGGTATAAATCCTGGCGGACCTGCAAATGTTTATGCAGGCCTTGCAAGGCTGTCAAGGCTCGTCTGAAAGCAGCGTAAGATTACTCCAACCTTTTTCATAAACCAACACCTCAGGTCCAACTGATTCAACTGTCTGGATCCCATTAATCGAAAGCAGCCCAAGTGTACGTGTCACCCATCAATATTGGTATGTACAATTATTAGGGTTAAGATTCCCATCTGACAGTTTTACCCAGTCTGTCACTCAAACAAAATCCTCGATACTCCAGGGGTTACGCTCACCCCTGGAATATGTCATGACAAAATTGAAGGCTCAGTGTGCGCCACCTTGTGGATGAGACAAGAAGACTAGTTTGATCATTTGATGTACACCAAAGAATCTCTTGGTTGCGTAACGGTAAATATGACTCGCTTTAAAGTTCGGGTGTGGCTCCTTTACAATCTTCAAAGAACATGTATCAGCCTAGCAATCGGTGAGTTTTTTTTACCTGATGCAAATCAAATAGTTAGCCAGATGCCTTCAATTTTGCTATGACATATTCCAGGGGTGCAAAGGGAGAAAGTGACCATAACCCCTGGAGGAACGAACAGCTAAGACAATCTGTCGACTAAGTTTTCAACTAATTTATAGCGGTTATATTTAGCAGGGGTTTTAATTTGCGCTATATTCTCAAAAAAGTTAACCTGTTTTACGGACCTTACCACAACATGTTGAAAATACTTATAACCCAACGCTGTTATGCAAGCTTAAACGACCTCAAATCAGATTTTCACCGGACAACTGGGCAGTCCATGTAAAAACAATACTTACATATAAGTGGCCACAGTATTTTTTTGTGTACACAGTAGGTGATTCATTAATTACAGTTTACTCTTACAAAGGTATTTTCTTTCGAGTGAAGTCACTGGCGGAAGACGACACTCGTGATCAGTGTTTTCAAACAGTTTACATGTATTTTGAGGTTAAACCCTTAAATGATGACACTCAAAATACTTTGCACGACACATGGAATTTGGGTGCACAGCGAAATTCAACCCCCGTCAATATGTACTGACCCCGCAAATTTCAGCGCTATACAGTATATTTATTCAATAACTGAGAAGTGTTTTACTTACGCAACACCCAGTGAGGCCAGTGTGCCGCTGGGGATGTTGTGGAAGGGATCTCGAAGGTCTCCACTCATGTTTATCCCAGCCAGAATTCCCGTGACAGTGGAGAAGAACAGCCCAAGGATACTGAAGAAGTTTTCACCCTCCACGTACTGCGGCCCCGAGTTGTTACGCAGGTTAAACTCGGAGTAACCAGTCACACCATGCTCTAATAAAACAGAAACAAATTTTAAGCACGTCCTTAACTTCATGTTATATGAAACAATATTCTTACGTTTGATTATAAACTTTTATATATTAGTTGTATATAGGATAAAAGCATAGAGAATAAATACTTATATATGTAACTACCGGTAATTGATCCAATATGGGCTCTAGATCCAAACATACGAATGTTCGTTGGATAAATATATTACTTAAATAGATAAACTATATGTACTTATGGGCAAAGAAATAACAACAGTGCAGACAAAGAAAATTTGTCAAATTTTCAGGGCGATCCGCCCCTTTTTGAAGACAGAAACATGAATAATTTTATATCACAGTATATAACAAGGATAAACAGTCACTATGAAATAGTACTGCAACAGCCTGCGGATACAACCTAACAACAAGGGTATATACAATAACAGCGGCATATATCATAAGTGATTACTGGTTTTATGTTTATATATTTTATATTGTGGTATTGTTTCCCCATTTTTTTTTAATTTATTTTTTTACAAATATTTTATTCCCCTAGCCATTTTTTTCATAAATATATATATTAGTATATGTAAGTGTTCATGTTTCTGTCATGAAAAAAAGACAGATTGCTCTAAAAATTCCTTTGTCTGCACTGTACTTATTACTTCCTTGCCCATATAGCTACCGGTAGTTATATTGTTATAGAATATGCATTCACAGCATTAAACCTGTACATTTGGTACATAAAACAGCAATCTTTAAAAATAGTCTCAAACCAATTTTCATTTAAATTTGAATTGGGATTCTAGTGTAAGCATTTTGATAACAGATTAATCATACAAATTGGAAAAATATCTTACCAATGATAGAATCAGATTTGCCAACAGAAATTAATCAAAATTTGTATGATATTAAAAAGAGCATACAGCGGAACTTAATTGTTAATCATCCACTACTAATCCAACTGTCTAATTAGGAAAGGTTGCTAGATTAAGTATAGTCTGAAATGTTAGCTACTGTTGTAGAATCGCGCAAAGCAGCCCTATCTGTTACCTGTTAATTACCAAACAATTAATACAGATAATGTTCCGTTGTGTTAATAACTGTCAAATCGTCAATGAACTAAAATTGGCGATAAACTCCATTCAATTTGTTACAAACCCTTTATTGATAATTTTACAATCATTGCAATGACGTGTAACATGCATGGAAGATTAGATAAAGTGCAAAATATACTGATCAGATATCAAATTAATATGGGATGTACCTTATTTCACTCGAGCCTTCTGGATTTTTTTTATTCCCTAACATTAATAAACATTTTGGAACAATGTGCTGACAGACTATTATGCGTTGTGCAACCCAACAACAGTATGCAATGTTTGCAGTATTTTATACAGATAAAGCAAAGAGTAGACTAGTAGAGGGGTATGTTTACGGTTTAATTGCAAAGTTAACTCTCAATTATGGCGATATAATGGATTAAGATGATATACATGTATTGAGAAATAGTCAAATAAAAAGGGTGAATTTTTAAAATTGATATAAACTAAACATAGTTGGAAAATGAAACACAGGGCATAATATGATATACTATCATAGGTTTACTCCACAGAATCGGGTCATCAGACTACTTATATAGTAAATTAGTAACAACTTACCCACATCTGTGTGTAGGAAGGAGCCGACAATCATGTCCATGGCTGACAGGAATAGCGCCATCAGTAGAACAAGCTGTAGACGGATCACCCACTTAACCCCCGCCACGTTTATACCTGGACATAAAAAAAAAAAATAAGGTCCGAAAATCACCCACTTAACCCCCGCCACGTTTATACCTGGACATAGAAATAAAAAAATAAAGTCCGAAAATAACCCACTTAACCCCCGCCAAATTTAAACCTGGACAAAAAATATGTCAGAAAATCACTGACTTCATCCCCATTACAATATTTAGCTGGAGGGAAGGATATGCTACATCCTGTGTTTATACAAAATAGAATTTATTAGCCTAACAATATTCTTAACCAAATAGGGTCAGAATCCCTTCAAATATATATCGAATAAGTAGGATTTTATAAAACATACATTTATTTCTTCTCACAAACCCAATCTTTGGGGCAAATTAACAAAATAAATCTAGATTTTCATCATCAAACTGTTCAAAAAAGGAACAACTTGTTTGCTGAAGAGAAATAGTTAGAACAGTGCCTTTAGCCAGGTAAAACGTCACCCAGAGTGACAAAGACATGATAACTTCACTGAAGCCATGAAGTTGTCAAATCTATTTTAACATGTGATGTTCTGTATATTTACCCAGCAGGAGAAGTACCAGTCCTACGGCCACTCCCTTTGCTATCCATGTGTTTTCCACGTGGGCCAGACCCATAATGGACTCTCCAAACCCCATTACAGACAGGGAACAGCTCACAGACTGTCAGGCAAAAGAATACCAATAAACAATCACAATTTTCAGAACTAACATTCCTCTTTCCTCCAAGCATATCAAACATTAATCAAATAAGGTCATTAATCTGATCATTTATATATAATGGGTAATTAACCAATCCCTATAAAATCTTGTTTTTCTTGAAAATGATGAAAGATGTCCTGGTAATTATTATTTTGATTACCCAGTTAAGTGCCAGTAAAAATAGCTAATCTTAAATATTGTTCTCAGGTTCATGTGAACCAAACATTATGTAACAATAAAACAAAGGAAATTATTTCTATTTGTTCATAAACAGTGTAGTAACAATTATATTTTTTGCCCTTGTTGTCAAGAGAAACATGAATCTTTGTTTCTGTCATACTTATCATTGATCTATGAGGGCAAAGCCCAAATGAAATTGAGGGGAAACAAAGATTCATGTCTCCCTAACACAAGGGCAGTACATATTTTATTATAATGAAATACCACAGTAACATGACACTAAATAAAATAGTTTTGTGCCATTGTTGTCATCCGCTTCAGTCACACAGATCTTAGATCTGATGCCTCATGTTTATTTTTCGAGAGTGGTCCCAATTTAACCAAAAAATGACAGTCGCAGTCAGCAAAATCATAACCGATAGAAAAAAGGCCGACCAGCTGCCTCTTATGTTATAGGAGTAGGGAGACTGAAGCTCATAAGGGAAACTCAAGGTCTAACTTCCCCTCTGTGTGATAAATATTAAATCCAACCATTGTCACATGTTGTTCAACAAATCATTTTAACCTCTGATTTCTCATGTTAGAACTTAATGGTAGACCCATAGACAATCACCATGAAAAACACTGACAGTCTCTGGAAATATATATGTTAATATACATTCCATGTATAAACTTTATTTATTTTGTAACAATTACGAAACATGCTATATCAACTTATATCAATCACTCTTGTTGGCCCAGATGTTTGTGCACTGGGTGTCTTAATGTGGGAGCAACAGGCATACCCAGAGAAAACTAACATGGTTTAGCAGGTGACCAATACCTTTTCACGTCAGATCTGGGAATAAAACCCTGGCCATCTTGGTGAAAGGCATGAGAGTTATTTCAATAGGCCTATAAAAAATACATTTTCCATAGACCTATTGTTTATGGAGTGTACATTTGATTTGATTTCTTTTTCTTGACATCATATGAACTTACCTGTGCAAAGCAGTAGATGACACCGATACTGCCCCCAATTCTGGCCCCAAGGACATGTGACAGTAGAAAGTACACGCCCCCAGACTCCATCTTACACCGTTCACACACCCCAATGGCTGACAGAGCCACGATCAGGACTATCACCACAGCAACGATGATTGTCAAAATTGTCAGACCTATCCCTGAGTTCCCCTATAAAAAATAAGATTTTAATTAGCATCTTATAAATCAATTTTAATCCTTTTCAACACCGTAGACCATAATGAACTCATCCAGATGAATGTGTGGTTGAGTCTACTAGAGTAATCTAGGGATGAAAGGGTTAAAGATTCCCTGGAATTCCTTAGACTGACTACCAGCTGCACCTAAATGTTTTTGAAGAATTTTCCGGCTGCATTTGTCTTCTAACTTATCTCCCCCTAGTTTTGAACTTGGGAATCAGACATCTAAGCGATCAAATTTTGAAGAGCTTATTTCTTTTCTAAATTATTTAATATTCTATAGGCAGGGATCAGTCTAAAGGAACAGCTGGAGAAAATGGCAAAAAAACACCAACTTAATTTGTAGGTTTTTGATGAAAATACACAATTTTATCAGATTAGATTCAATTTTTTATTAATTTATGAAAATTAGGATTATTTTCTTTTATTCATGTCTTAAAAAAGTCATTTTGCTAGGGTTTAAATCACATAGATAACAGGATTTCATTAGACTAGAAGTTCAGTCATAATTATTGGTAATTGGTAAGCAACTGGACTTCTAAAATGATTTATAATTCCAAATATATACTGCATACCACGAAATGTTCGTGGGTACTTTCCTTCAAACCATGAAGCATTTAGGATGGTTTCGTGGTACTGTACAAACTCTCGTGGATATCAAACAGTGTTAACAAACAGTAGACATGTATATAATTTATTTTCATGGTTCAATAGCAACCACAACAAGGTTACCGCGAGCAGTATATAATACGCCCGTCACACATTGAATGAGCAGTTGTTTGTATGATTGAAATATATGAAGTATTTATGAGTACTTGATATTAAAAGAGAAATCATTCAACATAACAGGTAGATCAATGATTGCAATACAACATCATGGAACGCATGCACCGCATTAATGAAACAAAGGGGAATAACTCCAATTATTACGGTCGGATAATGGCGGTTATCGAACTTGTTCCGAGGTTTCATGGTAATTACCCTTGTTGTGAAGTTTGAAGTTAATCCGTTAATAATTACTCGAGATTTCGAGCGGACACTGTTTGCATGCCCGCCCGCCCACCCGACCGCCTGCCCGCTCACGTGATAACATAATACGTCCCCGTCTTCGACGAGTGTATAAAAACCACAAATGTTTATACACAAAGAATATTTAATTTATACAGTAATTATGTGAACTTGATTTTTCCTTCATTCCAGCCTTTCGCTATGAATTTTGCATTATTCACGGTTTCTTTTTCAGCTAATTTATAAATATTCAGAAAATTTAATTAACACATATCAATTAAACAAATTTGGAAAGTCGAACCAGCTGTGAGATTACGTACAACAATCCATCCCATTCGGAGGAAGATGATCACTCCAAGGATGTTGATCATACAGGAAGTGAACACTCCGTCCCAAGTTCCGAACAGGACCGGCTCCGAAATGAAGAAATTGGCCTTGTACCATGGTTTCTGTGGCGAAAGACTCTAAAACACAGAATATTAGCAGTGTCAATTAGTGTAATCTACAGTTAATTCCAAACAATTTTTATAATTTTGTTATTACACTATTGAATGTACAGATATGAAAATTCCCCCCAAATCTCTAATGCACCGACATATTTCTGCTGCTACATGAGATTTTAATTTTCAAACCAAAAGAGCAATGAATATTTTTTACTTTTACCTGGTAAAATGGTTTTTTTAAATAATATTATGGCAATCATTTTGAAACAAGAACATTTTTTTTTTAATTTCAGCATTCAAATAACAATTTAATTTAAAAATGAGTTTTTCATGTTATTTGTTAGATGATTTTGAAATATAAAGTGACATTTGTAGTATTGTTCTTAAAATTTTGATAACATTATTAATTGAAATTGTCCCTGATTGTAACAATATAATCAATAAATCATACTTAACTGAAACAAGTCAATAATATTGCCCTGACAATAAACTAAAGGCAGCTCTGCCTTGTAATACATATGGTGTTTAACTCATTCATCCCTGAAGACACATTTGAACTCTTCCATTTCAAAGGTTGGAATAGTTCATTATGACATTTCAGGGGTGAATGAGTTAAGGTTGCTACACAGACCTATAACGTTTTACAGTGCGGTGACTTTGATTAACAAAGACACCGGGAAGGACCCAATCAATAGTGGACATTTATTGTAACTGGCGTGGTTGCTAAATATAGTAACGTCAGCGGGATGCTACATGAAAGCCTTATCAATCACCAAGGAAACTCCATAAACATGGGGTCAGCGTCAGGCCGACCAGTTATGTCCATATTGTACTGTCGATAAATCTATGCCTAGGATTAATCCACCTTTTATTCAAAACAAAGCAGATGCTAATTTAAAGGGGTCCTGTAGTGGACCCTTCAAAACTGAAATTGGCCCTATACTACATTGTAATTTCCATTTTCTTTTAATTTTACATTATGACCCCATAAATGTTTTACAAGGGCCAAACATTTGGAAATGGCCCAAGTAACTCTAATCTTTCTGTATATATATATATATATATAATCTTTTTTAAAGAATATAGGTGGGTTTTTTTCACCACCTGACTGTGACCTCAATTCAAATGCAACCTTTGTTCTAAATAAGGGCTAGAATGGCATGGCATGAAACTAAAATTCTATTTAAAGTAACAGTTAATTTAATCTTCCTTTAACCTTTACTGACCTCAAAAACAATACCAAGCATCCTCTCCTTCTAACCAAACACTGTATACCAAATATGGGCATGATTGTCCAAAAAGAGTACCTGTTATCCATGGCTAATATATATGTATACTTGTGCATACCAAAATCACAGTTATGAAGGTCAATAATACTTAGTATTCCAAATCTAACTTCTTGAAATATTATTTTGATACAAATGTACATGGTGCATGTTATACACTTTTAAATTATACTATATGTGGCTCATTATCACAGAAACTGGGTACCTACCGGTATGTATTCCTGTTAATCTCACATTTCACTTTATATCACTTTCCCTCTAACTAATAACATGTGACATTAACTGAAAAACACACACTTTACAAAGGCAACAAGTTAAGGAGAAACTAATTTACATTTTGTTTAAGCAGCGGCCATATCTTACAGCCACACACGTAGTTGAAGGTAGTGGGGGATGGCCGTAATTGACTGTAGTAGATCGTAGGTGACCTTAGTTAAACTATTAAATGTAGTTAGACGTAGTTATGAACTTCAAGAAACCCATGATTTGGCTGAGGTAAGCTGAAATTTTTTCAACATGTTCGAAATATCTCTCCGGTGAGTTTGATTCTGCCAATACACTTCTGTGACCGTAGTTTGAACGTAATTGACCTTATTTGACTGTAATTGACTGTAATTGATAGTAATTTATGTAGTTGCCTGTAGTTAAACGTAGTGCAACCGTAGTTAACCCTAGCCATTTTGCACGTAGTTCAATGTAGTTGGCCGTATTTACACGTAGTTCGCCCTACTTTCTTTATTAAATTTCCTCATTTGCCTATTTTGAACCTAGGTGACCATAGTGGCACTAAGTCAACTATGTTCACATGAACTATGGTCAACGACGTGCGTGACTGTATGATGTGACCGCGACTTAAGTCTAAACCTGGAACAATATTCCCGAGGATGTCGTATCAGCTCTAAACATACCAGAAGACGTCGTAAACATAAACACATTTAAGAACAGAATAAGTTAACTTTAGAAGAATGAAGAACTTCATATTAAGCATATATAGGGCAAATACAAATAACTATGAAATTCAAATTTTATAATCGTTTAATTTTCAGTCCAGTGTAGTTTGTAGAGTGTAAAGCAGTGCTTTATCAACTCCGGTATCAGAAACTTTTTCTAACCTAATTGTATATTTGTCTGCACCAAAACTTTTTTTACTTCTTATGTCTTGCGTCTCAACAGATGCACGCACACGATATATCACAGATACTGTTGAGGTAATATTTCAACCTTGTTAGACCTACATCTTGTTGATCGGCAGTAAATTGTGTAAATACAAGAGTTAAAGTAAAAATGTACACAGGACGACAGACTAAAGCAGTCAGATGTCCCTGTAACAGAATGTCAGAGAAACATTAGGGCCATCGACACCTACATTATGTAGTACTAGGTGTTGGGTTACCCATTTCACAATACCTGCGATTGTGGCAACAGGAGGTCATTGATTTTGTATCATTGCTTATACTTACAGCAATTCAATACCCTTCCCTCAAATACAAATCCTTCCTTTGTCTGCTAGGCCTAAACCTGCTGCACCTTACCTACATATCAACATGCACAGCGTCCCCAGGCATCATATGTTAAAACAAATTTAGATCGTTATCTGGAGTGTAAGGCATAACAACTTGACTGGCTGGGATCATGATGTCATAATGTTCAAATGTATGTGAACGATTTATGGTGCAGAAAATATCAAATACAAAGGCATAAACCCATAAATTTATCATAAATGTTCACATCCACCAAGTATTGACTTTCTATAAACAGGTTTAGAAGTTGTAAATGTGGTGTTCAGCAGTAAAGGTTTTTTTCTGATTTTGACATCTCGTAACCAATCCCCCAAATTATGATAATGATGTTTAGGTGAAAATATGGCATCTAGAAGGGAATTTCCAGTAAATTTAAATTTGATTTGGGACAGTTCAGCAGCCTTTTTACTTTTTTCCCCAATTACTATATAGAAAATAAACACTTTTAATAACACTGTACTACTGTCATTTTCCTTTTAAGTTATGAAATCAAAATATAAGGATTGAATAGTAATAAACTTGGCTATTGTTGGACAGGTCAATAAACAATGATCTACTATCCATCAATAGATAAGTTTTTCATCTAATCCTTAGGTGCGATTGTGCAATGACCTTGACCCTGGTTATTTACCTGGTCCTCCCTAAAAAGCTCGTTCTGTTTTCCGTCGTCTACTTGTTGGTAACCGTCCTCAACATCTGCGTGTGTGTATTTCTTAGCCTGGCCCGCCTCCTGTTGGTCGGCGCTCAGTCCAAACCGACTCCAGTCCGGCGACTTCTTCCTCTTCTGTTTAGATCCTTCCCCTGCCGACGCCATCAGAGCAGCGTTTTCATCTGACGACCCAGACATGGCGGATAACAGTGACAACAAGGTCTCGTACAACTCACAAAAGTGGGGTCGTCTTTATATCCCATGTTTTAGTGTCATTTTAAATTTCACCTGAAATGAAAGGAAACATTATTTAGACAACTGAATGATGTATTTATAGTCCTCCTGCACGAAGACTTCTGAACAGACTTTCAGGCAGAATTCATCTTTGGTTATAAGATCAGAGGACTTAGTTAATATCTAAGTTTCATGGATTGCCATGTAATCAGGATATTTAGCTATGATGATTTTTTATTGGAGAAAAAGGGTAAGAAAACAGGCTGCTTAATGACTTTTAATAAAATATCTGAGATTGTTTGGTCCAATTAGGTGGAAACTTTTGTTCAGTACATGTTTTTCAAAAATCAAATTAAGTTTTTTTTAATGGTGATGATGCATAGCAAGTAAATATAAACCTTTAATAAACCACAGATATCTTAAATCTCATCATGCAATAGTACACGTACTAAGACAAAAATAATCCCTTGATGGGACGCACGAGTAATATTCTAATTTCAATGCACACAATACATTTCTCATAAAACCCTACACCCAAATTCAAACATAGTGAGCATAAAAAACACACCCAAATATAGAACTTAATGTCTCGCAGTACTGAGAAAGCTTAAGTAAGTATAAATGTGTTATGTTGCATTATATGAAGCCTTCCCATGGTATTAGTTACAAGCTTCAAACCTTAAGGATGTACTGTACTATTTTTTCTCTTATATACAGTGACCTCCCCTTGATGTTTTGGTTTCGGATATAACTGTACACAGTTTGACCGGGCCACTTAGGTTGACTTTAGCTAGCTATGTATAGCTCCATCAGTAAGAATGACAATCTGATGACACATTATTTTAATTCTGGTCTTGCCCTGCTGAAGTTTTACACTCAGAACAATCATTTGCTGATGATCTTTTGTTCATTTCATATTTGTTATTTTTTAATTAACATCCCTTAAGGTATGGTTTTCTTTTCATAAATAAATAACATAGCCATATTCCGTCTTTTCGTATTGCAGAGTTATCTGCTGTTGTGAGCAGCCTCAATACGGTATTGATTGTTATTACATTATAGTTTGTGTGAGAAAATCACGTTGTTTTCTCAAACATTTATGACGTTACTGTCACAAACAAATGACGTAACAATCAATACCTGTTCACAAGAGCAGATAACTCTGCAATACACATGTAAAGTCATTCCGGTCAAAACAGTTTACAATGTATAGTTACCAGTTTTGGCAGTGGTATGGTGAGCCTTGTAATCAATACAGGTGAGCACATCATTGAAATCTTCCTCAACACTAACACTTAGTACTTAGTACTTCCAGTAGGTAGACTAGGTACATATACAAGCAGAAGAAATGGGACCTTTAACAAATAACTTATATAACTAGATAATTTGATGGTCTTTCATTTTCAAACAAAAAAGGGGGATCACGGCAAATACACATGCTGAGTTGATCTATAGATGTTTGTACAAAGAAGTGAATGAAATGCCTAGCGGACACAATGGGCTGGACCGGACACAATGGGCTGGACCGGTGGGCTAGCTGATAGTGATAATCCACCCAACCATTTACTAAACACTAGCTAGCTATATAGAGTAGAAGGAATGTTTATTATCAGGTTTGTTAAACCCGCGGCTTTAAGGTGAATAGACAATGCCTGAAAGTGTTGTAGACACTTCCCTAATTGTAGACTCTACCATTCATTTATCTGGATCAGTCTATTATGGTCTACAGTGGTGAAAGGGTAAAACTCAGCAATGTACATACTGTACTGTATAGATATATACCTGGTAGTACATTTTTACAAACTTTCGACACTTCCTGAGATATATATACCCGGTAGTCGTTTAAACTCAGCAATGAACATATTGTACTGTATAGATATATAGTACATTTTGTACAAACTTTCGACACTTCCTGTAAACTCAGCAATGTACATACTGTACAGATACATATACCCGGTTAACTCAGCAATGTACATACTGTACAGATACATATACCCGGTTAACTCAGCAATGTACACACTGTACAGATACATATACCCGGTTAACTCAGCAATGTACACACTGTACAGATACATATACCCGGTTAACTCAGCAATGTACACACTGTACAGATACATATACCCGGTTAACTCAGCAATGTACACACTGTACAGATACATATACCCGGTTAACTCAGCAATGTACACACTGTACAGATACATATACCCGGTTAACTCAGCAATGTACACACTGTACAGATACATATACCCGGTTAACTCAGCAATGTACACACTGTACAGATACATATACCCGGTTAACTCAGCAATGTACACACTGTACAGATACATATACCCGGTTAACTCAGCAATGTACACACTGTACAGATACATATACCCGGTTAACTCAGCAATGTACACACTGTACAGATACATATACCCGGTTAACTCAGCAATGTACACACTGTACAGATACATATACCCGGTTAACTCAGCAATGTACACACTGTACAGATACATATACCCGGTTAACTCAGCAATGTACACACTGTACAGATACATATACCCGGTTAACTCAGCAATGTACACACTGTACAGATACATATACCCGGTTAACTCAGCAATGTACACACTGTACAGATACATATACCCGGTTAACTCAGCAATGTACACACTGTACAGATACATATACCCGGTTAACTCAGCAATGTACACACTGTACAGATACATATACCCGGTTAACTCAGCAATGTACACACTGTACAGATATATATACCCGGTAGTCGTTTAAACTCAGCAATGTACACACTGTACAGATACATATACCCGGTAGTCGTTTAAACTCAGCAATGTACATACTGTACTGTATAGATATATAGTACATTAACTCCCTATACAATTACTGTATAGTCTAAAAATATTTATATGTAACTGTAAATTTTATTTATCTTTGTAACAACAATTATGAAACAACTTATTTCAACTTATATAAATCACTCTTGTTGGCCCGGATGTTCGGGCGTGGAGGGTATTAATGTGGGAGGAAACCGGAGCACCCGTAGTTAACCCACATGGTTGGGCACTGGTGACTCCATACTTTTTCACATCCGATCGGGGAATCGAACCCCAGCTGCCTTGGTGAAAGGCATGTGCACTATCCACTGCCCCACCCAGCCACCCTATTTATAAGGTTCTATCATTTACAGGTATTCCTCTTCATCTATTTTAAATGAAACACTTTTATGGTACTCTGTATGTAATTCTTTTCATAAATTGTTTCAATATACTGAACAGGTTAAGCTGGATTCACAACATTATTAGCATATAACTACAACTAATACTGCAAGATTTTCATAAAAACTTCAGCTTGTTTTGACATCTGTCTGAAAATGTATGTATGTTTTGACTCGGATGGATTACGGACTAAAATACTCTTAAAGCTGAACGAAACTTTTCATTTCATAAATTTTCAAAGCCGCGTAGATATTCAAAACCTGATTATAATTTTATGTATAGAAAACCAAAATTATCCTTTTAGACAAGAAACATTTCTTGATAACAAGTTTTATAGCCGTGCATAGCAGTTTGAGAAAAATAATATAATTACAAAAATTTCACTCACCACCACTTCGTCAACCTGACAAATCTTTTGAACATGAGCCCATGGATTGAAAGTATACAGCACTTGACTCGGGGTGTCTCCAAAAGTATGGTGTCTATATATAGTGGGTAAAGATCATTGCATTGATACCTTACAAAAATAAAGGTGTTGACTGCGATCTTGATATTTAAACACAGGAATTAAGCCCTGAGGGACTGTTCAATGGTCCGTTCGGACAACATGTGTATACTGCCACACAACTTTAGTGAGAGTATATGGTACACATGTACTAACTCTGATGGGGTTTTGATCACCCAAAGTGTTAACACTATCCTGACCTATGTGGTAAATGTGGTAAATAAATGAGATGATTTTGAGACAACTCTAATCCTCTACCTGTCCCAACAATAACTGTATTATTATAAGAGAGTGCCCCCCCTCCTTTCCACTCAAACAAAAAAACAACTCTACCTGTCCCAACAATAACTGTATTATTATAAGAGAGTGTCCCCCTTTCCCTTTCCACTCAAACCATCCTCTATCCGTCCTCATAACAATTGTATTGTTATAAGGGAGTGTATACCCCTCCACTCAAACCATCCTCTACCTATCCCAACAATAATTGCATTATTATAAGAGAGTGTCACCCCCCCCCCCCATTTCCACTCAATCAACCCTCTACCTGACCCCACAATAATTGTTTTGTTATAAGAGATTGTCCCCCCACCCCCTTTCCACTTAAACCACCCTCTACCTGTCCCCACAATAATTGCATTGTTATAAGAGATTGTCCCCCCACCCCCTTTCCACTTAAACCACCCTCTACCTGTCCCCACAATAATTGCATTGTTATAAGAGAGTGTCCCCCCCCCTTTCCACTTAAACCACCCTCTACCTGTCACCACAATAATTGCATTGTTATAAGAGAGTGTCCCCCCCCCTTTCCACTTAAACCACCCTCTACCTGTCACCACAATAATTGCATTGTTATAAGAGAGTGTCCCCCCCCCTTTCCACTTAAACCACCCTCTACCTGTCACAACAATAATTGCATTGTTATAAGAGAGTGTCCCCCCCCCTTTCCACTCAAACCATCCTCTACCTGTCACCAGAATAAATGTATTGTTATAAGGGAGTGTGTCCCCTCCACTCCAACCACCCTCTAACTGTCCCAACAATAATTGTATTGTTATAAGGGAGTGTGTCCCCTCCACTTCAACCACCCTCTAACTGTCCCAACAATAATTGTATTGTTATAATGGAGTGTGTCCCCATACACTCAAACCACCCCCTAACTGTCCCAACAATAATTGTATTGTTATAAGGGAGTGTGTCCCCCTCCACTCAAACCCCCCTCTAACTGTCCCAACAATAATTGTATTGTTATAATGGAGTGTGTCCCCATACACTCAAACCACACTCTAACTGTCCCAACAATAATTGTATTGTTATAAGGGAGTGTGTCCCATCCACTTCAACCACCCTCTAACTGTCCCAACAATAATTCAAACCACCCACTACCTGTCCCAACAATAATTGTATTGTTATAAGGGAGTGTGTCCCCTCCACTTCAACCACCCTCTAACTGTCCCAACAATAATTCAAACCACCCTCTACCTGTCCCAACAATAATTGTATTGTTATAAGGGAGTGTGTCCCCTCCACTTCAACGACCCTCTAACTGTCCCAACAATAATTCAAACCACCCTCTCCCTGTCCCAACAATAATTGTATTGTTATAAGGGAGTGTGTCCCCCTCCACTCAAACCCCCCTCTAACTGTCCCAACAATAATTGTATTGTTATAATGGAGTGTGCCCCTTCCACTCAAACCCCTCATTAACTGTACGAACAATAATTGTATTGTTATAATGGAGTGTGTCCCCATCCACTCAAACCACACTCTAACTGTCCCAACAATAATTGTATTATTATAATGGAGTGTGTCCCCCTCCACTCAAACAACCCTCTACCTGTCTCAACAATAATTGTATTGTTATAATTGAGTGTGTCCCCCTCCACTCAAACCACCCTCTAACTGTCCCAACAATAATTGTATTGTTATAATGGAGTGTGTCCCCCTCCACTCAAACCACCTTCTTACTGTCCCAACAATAATTGTATTGTTATAAGGGAGTGTGCCCCCCCCCCTCCACTCAAACCACCCTCTCACTGTCCCAACAATAATTGTTGTGTTTTAAGAGAGCCCCCCCCCCTTTCCACTCAAACCATCCTCTTCATGTCCCCACAATAATTGTTTTGCCTCCCTCCACTCAAACCACCCTCGATCTACCCGTCCCCACAACATTTGTATTGTTATAAGGGAATGTACCCCCCCCC